ATATATAATATATATACTATAATTACACTGTACAATTATAATTATCTTTGTTTAGAGCATTTTGGCAATATGTTTCAAAATGTTTGAAGATACACGTCTTCTAACTCAGCAATTCTTTTTGAATATTTTGACTGAGGAAAAAAACATTGCCTGTAAAGAATTATCTACTTTGTGTGGGGTGGGTGTCTGTATCTAATGTAATTTATCATAATTGAAAATGGTAAGCAATCTAAATGCCTATCATTAGGGGTTTCAATAGTTGAAATACATGAAATACATGTGACGGAATACTATGCTTCTATTTAAAAATAATTTTACAGAATAATATTTATAATGAGAAAAATTGTGGCTTTTAAATCATGATAATATTGGTTTTTTTCCAATTTTATCTTTGTGAATATGTATTAGTATTTTGTCACCTAAAAAGTACATTTTTCTCAATAAATGCAACAGTTTTTTCTGTTAATCTCCTGCCTGAAACAGAAGTGTCAGCGTTTTAGAGGGATCACTGTATTCCACATTGCCTTTTGAAGTTTTTTAAAGTAATTTTTTAATATAATAAGGCACATTTTGTATTTCTATAGATATTCCTGATCAAGTTATAAGAGTTTTCAAAGCTGATCAACAAAGTTGCTACATTATCATCAGTAAAGACACTACAGCCAAAGAAGTAGTTTGTCACGCTGTCCATGAGTTCGGTTTGACTGGTGCATCTGACACCTACTCTCTCTGTGAAGTTTCTGTTACTCCTGAGGGTGTAATAAAGCAGAGAAGACTTCCAGACCAGTTCTCCAAATTAGCTGACAGAATTCAACTCAATGGAAGGTGAATATGCTTATTAGTGAATGTGCTTATCACTGGATGTGCTTTTCAAAGACAGGTATTTTAAGTAGAAACATCATCATGTTGATTGCAAATGAGTTCTTTCCAAATTAAAGTAGGGATTCTGTTTCCCAAACTTTTCTTTGCACCTAATTATATAAATAGAATTGTAGGGTTTTCTTAAGGGCTACACTAGACTGAGTGTCCAGCTTGCCAAAATGTGTAAGTGATCATGCTAAAATAAAGTCGTAGAACTACTAATGTACTCCAGTCTGTTTTTTGCAGAGGAGGGAACTCATCAATAGCAATCTTTATATATATATGTGAATATGTATATGTATTAATTTAGAAATTTGTTTATGCTGGGTGTATAGAGCATGTCTGTAATCCTAGCACTCAGGAGGCAGGAGGATCACCACAAATTCAAAGCCATCCCAAGCTACATAGCAAGACCCTCTCTCAAACAAAATTTTATGACTATACTGTGGGCAAAAGAAACTGTCATTTTCACAAATAGTTTTTAAATTAGTTTTACTTTTCCAAGTAGATGAGATTATAGGTGTGTTCATATATATATGCGCGTGCGCACTTGCGCGCGCGCACACACACACGCACACACACACGCACGCACGCACGCCATTTATTTGTTTGTTTTTGGTGCCGGGATCAAACTCAGGACCTTGTGCTTGTGAGGCAGGTGGCAGCACCACTGGGCTAAATCCCCAGCCCAGTAAAGTGATATTTTTGAGAACAATAATAAAGTGGGAAAGTGTTCTTATGAATGACACCACATTTACAATCAGATTTATGAAAAAAAAACTTTTTTCCTTTTAGGTACTATTTAAAAAATAACATGGAAACAGAAACCTTATGCTCAGATGAAGATGCTCAGGAACTGGTTAAGGAAAGCCAGCTGTCCATGCTGCAGCTCAGTACCATCGAGCTGGCCACGCAGTTGTCAATGAGGGACTTTGACTTATTTCGTAATATTGAGCCCACTGAATACATCGATGACATTTTTAAGTTGGACTCCAAAACCGGAAATACTCACTTGAAGGAATTTGAGGACATTGTAAACCAAGAGACATTCTGGGTTGCCTCAGAGATTTTAACAGAATCAAATCAGCTCAAACGAATGAAAATTATTAAACATTTTATTAAGATTGCACTTCATTGTCGAGAATGTAAGAATTTCAATTCCATGTTCGCAATTATAAGGTAAGTTTTTACAAATAGGTGCACATATCTTTGTGGGTGTTTTATGATACTAAGCTTGAAGCTAGTTTTCTAGTTAGTACTAAGTACATAGAAAGAGAAAAGTTCCATCAATAAGCCTTTATTGAAGTATCGTTAGATTTAATGTGCTTTATATCTTGGTGGTATTGTCTTTGTGTTTTTGTTTCATCTTTCTGTCCCTTTTCTTAAATGAATATGAGTGATTGCTTTCTCATTTTCTTTCCCTGTTTAAGTGTTCCTACCCTTTTTGGATATATGCTCTTTGTTGTCAGACATGGTAAACATGCGCTGTGCCTCACTGCCTCTTTCTTCCCTGAAAAATCACAGTGTGAAGCTGGGTGTGATGGGGCATGCCTATAACCTAAGCCTGAATGACATAGTAAGACCCTGTCTAAAACAAAACAAAAAGATCACAGTATTGATGCTCTGACCTAAAATTGCTTATTTTCAAATGACAATAGTAACAGCAACTGTTGGGTGAGTTACTCCTTTTTGCCAGGCACTGTGTGAGGTGTGTGGATTTCTCGTCACTCAGGCAATTGAGGCCATTAGCGTTATGAAGCTCCTGTGCTGTGAACATGTCCAGCACTCATAGATGTGATGAGCTCTCCCTCCTACTTTCTGCCTGCTTATTATGAAAAGACAGACAGTTGTAGGTAACTTATTTTCTCACTTTCATCCAACATATGTAGTAGATCAATAAAAGGATCCCTCTTAAAGCAAGTCTGATTTTAAAGCAAAGAGAATTCCAGTTCAATCCATTTAAAAGTCCATGTTTTTATGTATAGCAGAATAATTCCACCTTACCCAGTGTCACCTACACTTAATGCCACCTTTTCACACCACCCACAGAACTTATAATAATTTGTTCTTACTGCTCAAGTAAAATAAAAGTGGATTTTTTAATTCCCATCACTGGGGATTGAACTCAAGGGAAGTAAATAGCATTGTTTTGTAGTAAAAAATAATTCTAGCTTTTTAAATAAAGATTAATATACATGGAAAAAAATCCAAAGTACTGCAGAGTAAAAAATTGCAGTGTAAAAGTTGCTCTCTCTTCCACTCAGTACCCATTTCACCCACATTTCTCTCCCACCTTGGTTTATTTTGTTTGATTTATCTTGGAGAGTACTATCTACACTAGTACCTATAAACCTGTCTGATTTTTTAAATAACCATAAAATATTCCTTTTGTACTATAGCGTATATATTATTTGTAACTATTTCTAAATTTTTGTCCCTTAGCTTTTTGAAAGTGTATATATAGTGTTTGCTTTTGCCATTACTGAAACTGTATTTTTACAAAGTCTTATAAATTTATCATTTTTTTCTCTCTTTAAAATAGTCTCTATCTTGTGGTTAAGAACAAAGAACCCCCTTGGTTTGAATCCAGTCTTGTCACTTGCTAGTAAAACTGAGCTTACCCGTTCTAAAATGGGGAATCCCGGTAGTTCTTATCTCATGAGGTTGTTTCAGTGAGTGAATATCTATCAAAGGCTCTAGCACTTTATAGTAGTTTGACTTAAATTACGTTTTCATTAATCTTGAATTCCATTTTTGTTGTAAGCAGTAGAGGAACACATCTTACTTTGTTCCACATGGCTTCTTATTTATCCAACTTTATTCTTTTCTCCTAAAAACTGTTATCTATTGAATACTAAAATCTTGTACATATTTTAGTTCTATTTCTAGCTCTATTCCACTGTTTTGTCTATTCATTACTGTTTTGATTGGTAGATAGATTTGAAGATCTGGTAGAGGTAGGCAGACCTCTTCACTTTTACTCTTTCAATTTCTGATATGTTTTATGTGACTTTAGGGTCAGTTAATTTAGATCTTTTAGAAATTTTGTGGATGTTTTCATAATGATCACATTAAGTTAATTTAACAGACATTTGATATCTTTGTAACAGTGAATGCTTCATCCAAGAACATGCCATTTGTTCTAATTTCCTCATTTCTTCTGCGGAGTTTGTGCTTTGTTATAAATCTTGAACATTTTTGAATGTTTATTATCATTTATTGCTATTATTAGTGGAGTCCTTATATTTTTCTAACTGGTTTTTGCTTATACCTAAATATTATAGTGCTCATGAGTGCCAGTTTTGTGCAGGGGCATCTTACTGCATTCTTGTTTCTATTAATTTTTCAGTTAATGTTTTTGGGACTTTGAGTTACACAATCTTAACTTTATTTCTTTCAAATATTGATAACTTGATTTCTTTATTCCATTTATCTTTCTTTGGGAGAGTTTGAATTACTCAGTCTAATTTTCTTATCAGTGATAATAACTTCTTTTTTTTACCGGGAGCCGAACTCAGGACGTTGTGCTTGCAAGACAGGTGGCGGAACTACTGAGCCAAATTCCTGGTCCAAGGAATAATAACTTTTAACTTATCTATCTCTGTCTGCTAGTACCTTCACATTAAATGTTTGTAATTATAAACCTCTGTGCATAATTAATAGCTCTTTGTAAGAGCATTTCTAGCATCTCTTCATTAAATATTATGGGGGCTTTGAGTTCAGAAATATATTGCACTTTTAGTTCTTTTATTGATTTTCTAAAAATTTAGGAATGAGTGTTGAATTATGTGATGGTTTAATATTTAAAGTAATCATAATTTTTTCTTTTTACTATTAGTATGGTAAATTAATAGTGCCCTGAAAATAAATTACCCTGCTAGTCTGACATGAGCTCCATATAACCAGGTAAATTTTATGGTGATGTCCTTTTTTGGTTTGTGTGGTTTGCTGCTATGATGGCTTGATAATATTAATAAACTTTCATTTCTTTTTTATGCTCTGTAGCTATTTAAATAGCATTGATGGTAATTACTTGGTTTGAGAATTGAAAGGAATTTACCTGTGTCACTGTCTGAACCTGGTGCTCTATAACAATCTGTCTTCTTTTAGAGATTTATGTCTTTCAATTTCAAAGTTACCTAAAATGGAGGTAGCATACTTTTTTGCAGTGGAAATAGTTTAGATTCTCTGGGATATATAGTCTCTCTTAAGAAACTGCTGACACCTGCCACTGTATCATAAAAGCAGCCCTAAACAGTAAATGAAGAAGACTGTGTTCTAATGATTTTATTTATGAAAATAGACAGTGGGCCTAATATGGCATTTGGTAACCCTAATATATTATGTTTTTATCTGAGTTTTAGTCTTCAGTTAGAATTGAGCAAATTAACCTGTTCTTTTAATTTTCTTTTTATCTACATTTTTTCCTTCATTCTTATTCTTGTGTATTTGTCTCCCAAAAACCACCACTCCTTGTTTTAAATAGCCTTAAGATATTCCTCAGCCTTTGTTTTGTTTTGTTTTGTTGTTGTCGTAATTTCTCCAGTCATCTCTTTTTTGAAGTTTGTTTTCTGGTCGTTAATTGAAGAAGGAAGGTATGGAGGAAATTACATTTTCTGAGTATATCCAAAGTATCTTTCTGTTGCTTTTTACTTGAATGACAGTTTTTCTAGCTATAAAAGTCTTCACACATTTCTTGGGGACTTAACAGAGAGTGGCTTTTCAACTAACATTTTGTTTGGCTATGTTAAGTTCCTGGGGTTTGCTGGAATTTCTCTTCCTTGCTACATTCACAGATTCTCATTTACCTTTATATAGATGTTTCTTTTCTTCTTCCTGCTCTTTCTCCTTTTAGTTCTATGTGACATTTTCCAAGACTATGGTGCCTTTTCAGTCTGTTGTTTCAGGTCTTCCCTTTACTTCTAGAAGGTTTTCCTAGTTGTACCTCTGAATATTTTTTGTTTCATTATTTTTATTTTCTTCTTTAGGAAGATACATATCTATCACCAGGAGGCTGGTTCCTGACACTTTGAGGAACTGGCTCCTCACTTCTTATTTGTTGGTTCTTTTTGCTTTTGATGAAAGATTTCAGTCAAGACACGTAGGTGACCAGGTGTAGACATAGAGTTCATTATAAAACAGGTATAGAGAAAGTTATGCCTTCAAGCAAGATGGTGGGCAGTGTCACAAAGATAGCTCCACTGAGTATGAGTTAGATGGCATTCTATATGCACAAGAGTTACTCCTGGGGTTCAAGGAACTATAGTGGTTATGTTTATCAACATTTTTCTTAGAAGTTACTATGGAATGTTAGTATCTCAAAATGTCTTCCTATTTTTTTCAGATGGTCAGTGTTCTCTCCAGGACTTTAACCTTAACAAGTTTATGAAGGAAATTAAAATGGGTCTCAGCCCAAGGAGGGAGAGTCTTTAAAGAATGTTCTGCTTTCTGGTATCATTGGGCATAGATCATGGCATCCAGGAACGCTGTATACTTGTTTTGGAAATAGATGGTCAGGTGGCCAAATTTCAGAAGGAATGTAATGTGCACATGTGTAACCTTAAAATGTGATTGTGCTCTGCTAGATCACTTTGGATCTTACGCCTAACAAATAATTACACATTAAGGTCTCATTTATCTGTCACTGGCAAACTGTGCTATTTTGGACCTTCACTAGTGTTCCTTAAGCCTGCTAGTGTCCAACCACCTGCCTAAGGATATCTTACCATTTTCTCTTCAGTCTCTTGTAACTGTATCCATTTCCACCGATTATCTTTATTCTTTCCTCCATGTCATTTACATTGTTTTAGCAGTGACTTTTTTTTTTTTATGTAAGTTTCAAGTGTTTCCTTCCTTTCTCTTTTGGTTTTATTTTTTTTTCTTCTGTGTCTTTCCTGAGCTCTACTAGTTAATTTTCAGCAAAAATTTTAACGTGTTTTTCCTAAGCTCTTGTATCTTTGCATTAAACTTCATTAATTTTATCAGTTTCTTTAAAATCATAGCAGGTCATTGGTTAGTACCAGTTTTAATTTTTATTGTCGACAGCATTTTTCTACTTCATTCTCTTTGTTTTCCTTGTTATCTCTGTGTTATCAATGCTGTTTCTTCCTTTTAAATGGTGAGGGATTTCTTGTGTTCCATTTGTAAGAGGTTCAGTGAGAGAGGAGTGAGGGCAGAATTCCCAGCTACCAGGAATTGGCCCTGAATGTGATTGTTTTACCCTTTAGTTTTTCACAGGAAATAAAAGTTGGCAGCTTCAGGGCTGCTTACTCATTTTCTCCCTTCTGTCCTAATGAAATAGAAATGATATGAGAAATACATGTAACTCACAACATGTCAGATACGCCTAGTTAACAGTGGAGGTTAAAGAACAAAAAAGAAGGTTAAGATAAGAGAAAAAAAAAGAATAGGAAAATTTTTTGGAGAATAGGAATGTGGAATAAGAATAGCTCCTGAGAGAAAGGGCAGGTCCTGAATGGATTGACAAGGAGCCCTCTTTTCAAAGGAAGTTTTACAGAGCAAAGTCACGAGGGGTGGGTACTTCATGGATAAAAACTAATAATCAACCAATAAGTTTATAAGTATAGTTGCTTTGTTGCTATTGATCCAATAGTAACAGGTATATGGATGACATCATTACCTGGTTAGTAATCTGTAGTCTTAGTGAGTGGAGGAGGATGGCCCATTCCCAATGAGATGCCTGACTCTGTCTTGTGGCGGGGGAATCCCAAAAGGTTGGCACCAGTAACCTCAAGCTTCTGTTCATCCCTCAGAAAAGTATGCAGATCTGGCCGTTGTGACTTTAATTTTCAGATGTGCATCCAGACACAGCCTGGATGTGTTCTCATCCTCTCCATCGACTTTCTTAAGGGCCCAACCCTCTCTGAGTGCCTACAATATTTCTGCTAGCTTAGCTGTCTGTAACAATGCCACTGCTAAACAGCTTCCTACCAGAGTTGTAACTCTGTGTGTACTGGTTCAGTCTCACTTTCCCTAAGTCCTTGGTAAAGAAATTATCCAGTCCTACCCAGTCCAGGTCACCCTGTGAACTTGTGAACTGTTGAGTTCCATAAAAGGAATTGATGTTTTCGCCCTCAGGGCAGTGACCTGCTTTGAGAACTGTTTGGCCAGTATTCATAGAAAGCTTTACCTGGGGGCATAACTTTTCAGCATCTTCCTATACTCCTATTTAAAGTTGACTGTTTTTAACTGTCCTAATGTTTTTAGACTTTTGTTGTTGTTGTTTCAATGGAGATAGAATCTGCATTTCTGTTACTAATACTCCTTGTAGTTTTTTTGCGGGGTGGGGGGGGGCATCCTGCCAGACTATGACAATTGGAGGGCTGAGGTGGGGTCTCCCTCTGAGACACCTGGAGAGGGGTTTGTTTAATCCATGTAGTGATTAGTGAGTTACTTAATTTTCTAATAACAACACACATGGAAACAGTTATCAGCATCAGGGCAGCATCAGAGCAGAGCTGGAACTGCAGTTCCAGAGCTCAAGTGCTTCGTGTCTTTATTTCAGCAAAAACAGCAGCACAGCTACTAAAAGGTTGCAGTGTTCTCTACTTCACAGGAGTTACAGTGTCTTTATCAGTGGACTGAGATGTGAAGAGACTGAACACAACTGCACAACCTTGACCCTGTTGCACATGCATGGTTAAGTGTGTTAAGTTGTTCTTAGATAACTGTGGCCTATGGTAACTGTGACATGTTATGTGTGACTCATTGAGAGCGGATTTGGGTCCGAAAGTGTTCTCTGAGGCCCTGGCTTTGATATAGGCAAAAGCAGTAGTCCACAGGTGGTTTTTGTTTTGTTCCACCAGGGATCAGACTCAGGACCTTGCACTTTTGAGGCAGGTACAGTGTCACTGAACTAAATCCCCAGCCCTCACAGGTGGTTTCTGAGAAGCAAAGGGAACCAAAAGTATCTTAACTCCACATCTTTACATCAGAAATCAAGACCATATTTTAAATATTGTGGTGTGGATAAAAGATGATTGAAAGCAAAGAAGGATTAACTCAAAATGAAGGGATATTTTGCATATGCACATACAACTCAATTGGCAACTTTGGATGGTAGTATAGAAGTAAAGGAACCGGGAATAATTGAAGCCTAATTGTCACAAATTATTGTTTCCAGTTAGTGAATATCTGAGCTTGTCTAAAGCCCCATGAAAAAGAGACATTGAATATCTTGAGGCTTAGGGGACAACATTAGAACATTGGGGTATAGTAGTTTTGAAATCGGGGATATAAATGGGCAAAATCTCAGAGAAAAATGTCTGTTATTAACAATTGTCATTAATAAACCGCCTTTGAATAGATACTGTTTCTGTAAAGTTACTTCTTTTTTTTCTTTCTTTCTTTCTTTTGGTACGGGAGATTGAACTCGAGTCCTTGTGCTTGCGAGGCAGGCGGTGGAACCACTGAGCTAAATCCCCAGTCCTCTAAAGTCACTTCTAAGTAAAACAAATATTTTCATGCTTGAAAGTTTTTTTTAGTTACATTTATATATTTTTTCCCCTGGTAATGGGAATTTAACTCAAGATCTTGAGGTTGCCAGGAAGGCATGGCATTGTTGAGCTACATCCCCAGCCCAGTTACATGTGTATTTTCTAGAATCATTCCGTGCGTCACATGCAAACTATAAAATAAAGGGCTACATAGATACATAGCTGAATAAAAGTAATGTAGTTTCTTTGAAACGGGTTCTCCTTGTTTTAATCTTACAAGAGTTCCTTTTATGTATTTTTTTATAGTTCTGTGTTTATTGAACCTGTTAAAATACATCCCTGCTCTTTTTTAGCATTATTAGAGAAATTAGTGTATGCACTGTTGACTTGAGTCCACTTTCTTCCCCAGGTCCCTTTGTAATGTTTTTATTCTCGTCTTTGGCAGTGGCTTGAACCTGGCACCTGTAGCCCGACTCAGAGGTACCTGGGAAAAGTTACCAAGCAAATATGAGAAACATCTCCAAGATCTGCAAGACCTTTTTGATCCATCTAGAAACATGGCAAAATATAGAAATATTCTTAGTAGTCAAAGCATGCAGCCTCCAATTATTCCACTCTTCCCAGTTGTCAAGAAGGACATGACATTTCTTCATGAAGGTATTTGAAAATAAGCATGTGTAGCATCAGCCAGTTCTGCAGCGTTGTGATTCGTTATATATTCCACCCTATTGATTATTTCACGAAAGCTTAACACAGTTAAATGCAGCGGCTTTGTTAAGTTACCTAAAAACTACATTGTTTACAGAAACAAACTGAACTTTTCATGCATTCCAAATTTAACCTTGACATTCTTAAGATCAGACTGTAATTATTTCCTTCCAAATTTTTAAATAATTACTCCGTACGTGTACAGAAAAGCCCCCGAGACTATAACTAATGAAATTTGACAAAGCAGATATTTTTATGACCCACACTCAAAAACAAAACATGATGAAAATCCCAGAAACCCTGCTCATACCCCTTCCCAATTACTACCCTCATCCTCTGCCCGGAAGGTAATGTTAGAAATGAGCCCCCAGACTCACATTGTCAGTGCCAGAAAGAATGCACTCAGCAAGCAATAACACTCCACAAGGGGAAGTTTAAAGCTTACTTTTACAGAAAAGGGTGAGAGTGCCTCCGATGGGAGGGGCTTAAGCCTTAAAGTATGGTAAGGAGCTGACTTTTTTCCTCGTTGGCTGGGTTGAAGTTTCACAGTCTATCCCCATTGGCTCTTTTAAGAGGCAAGGGAAGGGTCTGAAGGATTGCTGAGTAGGAAAAGGGTGTGGGGAGCCAAGTCCTTGGCTGTTGATCCCCTGTCCTTGGTCTGCAGCTGTGTTCCCAGAATGTAGGTGTTTTTCCATAAGTTTGACTGTAAAGGGTAGCACTGCTTAGGGTGGGCTACAATCTAAAATGGAAGAACTCTTGTTTATATCTTTTGATAGAAAAAACAGGGCCCCTGTTTCTTAATGTAATTACTATCTTGACTTTGAATGCTGTAGTTTAGTTTTAACTGTTCTTGAATTTTAGACAGGTATAATCACATGATGTATGTATTTTGTATGGTTTGTTTTGGTTTCTGACTTACATTGATCAAATTGAATTTATGAGGTTCTTCCTTTTTTGGGGAGGCACCGGGGACCAAACTTGGGACCTTGTGCTTGTGAAGCAGGCAGCAGAACTACTGAGCTCAATTCCCAGCCCTCTCCCATGTTTTTGAGTGTAGTTTTACTTCATTTTCTTTTTTTTTTAAATAAATTTTATTATATTTCATCCCCCCCGTACAGAAATTTTGTTTCCATTTTTTCCCTTCTATTTTCACCTTTTTTTCCCCTTGACTTTTCCTTTGCTCCTCTTCTCATTTGAACACTTTCCCATTTCCCAGTATCCATTATACATTTCGGTCCTTATTTCCACTTTCAGGTTTCCCACCCCAGAGAAAAATGCAGTATTTAGTATATGTGCTCCCGAAGCAAGCACAATGCAGTATTTAAATGTGTGTGTCCAGTTTATCTGTCTGGAGAGTACAGTCTCAAGTGCATCCATTGAGCTATAAATGACTGAAACTCATCCTTCTTTATGGCAGAGTAGTACTCCATTGTATAAAAAACCCATGTCTTTATCCACTCTTTAGTCGATGGGCTGTTCCCAAGATCCTTAGCAAACTGTGCCGCTATAAACATGGATATGTATATATTGCTATGGTATGATGCTTTTAATTCTTTCAGGAAGATACCAGAGGAAGTATAGCTGGGTCAAATGGTACCTCTAGTTTGAATTTTTTGAGGAATCTCCACACTGATTTCCACAGTGGTTACACTAGTCTGCACTCCCACCAACAGAGAAGAGGGGTTCCTTTTTCCCAGCAGCCCCACCAGCCTTTGTTATTGGTTGATTTCTTGATAGCAGCCATTCTTTCTGGGGTGAGATGGAACCTCACCATTGTTTTAATTTTTCTTTCACAAATGACTGTTAATGTTGAACTTTTTTATATTTATTTGCTGTTTCTAATTCTTCATTTGAGAAGCATCTTATTTCAGATACCTATTTTTGCATTGGGTCTTTAAATTGCGGGGAAGTCTGGTTTTTTGTTTTGTTTTGTTTTTTCCTTTATTCTAGATAGTAGTATGGTAAAAATTTTTTCCCGCTTTGTGCTTTCTCTTCACTCTGTTGGTGGTTTCTCTTGCTGTGCAAAAGCTTTTTAGTAGGGTCCCCGATGTTGATTGTAGTCTTTCCCATGTGGTCTGGGCTTTGTGTAGTCTTTGCCTACTCCTATAGACATCTTGAAATGTATGGCTTTCCTCTGTGTTTGAAATTTTCCAGTAGTGCTGTCTTGTTATTGACTCGCCTGTGACCTCTCCAAAAGGGACTCTGATCTCACCTTCATTAGATTTGATCCTTGTACCTTGTCTTGGTTTTTTCTCTTTGCTGAGACAAGATACCCGACGCCCAATTTTAAAGGCAGAAAGGTTTATTTGGCTCACAGTTTGTAAAAGTTTCAATTCATAATTGGCTGGATCCAAGGAATAGTGGCTTGGCAGAGGGGCATCTCAGAGCTGGCAGGTAGGCAGCACTCACATCCAGTCTGGGGTACCCTTTTAAAGTTTAACAATTTTGTTTTAAGTTCATTGTTCTTTGCCAGAGTTCTCACTGTAGTTTTTATATCTTTGAATGTATTTAGCATAGTTACTTTTAACTCTTGTCTCTGACCACTTAATAATATGAATCTGTTGTGGCTCTTTTTCTGTTGTGTCCTTTTTTTCTTTTGTATTTCATTTGTGTTAATCTTTTCTCCTGACGTGCCTTGTTTTCTTTTTGACTGTGTAATGGATGTTGTGTATAAAAATTAGCAATAGAAATCTGTAGTCTTGAGTGATGTTCTTTTCTTCCGAGAGGGATTAAGCTTTACTTAGCTGAGGGTACTAACAATCCACAATCCCTTTCACCCATTTTCATATTTTGAGATAACTTAACATCAGATGTACCCCAGTCTTCATGTAGTACTTTGGAGTTCCAACCCAAAGCCTTGGAGGTTTAGTTGGACTTGTCTTGCCTCAGAAGCAGGGTGGTTCTGCTCAGTTTTTCAGCTCATCATCCCTCTTTTCTGAATTCAGCAAATGTGCCTAGGGGTAAACACTGGAAAATGCCAAGCCTGTCTTCTGTATTCAACCACAAATCTTCACTTCCTTGTTAGCTCTTTGATCCCTCACGTCCAACTTTGATGTTTATGTCCATCTCTTCTAACTGTTCTTCTCAAAGGTTGTCCTAATTATCTAATCTTACTCTCTCCTCTTTCATAGCCATTCTTTTTGATATAGAAATGTTACCATCTTCCAATATATTTTTCTGACATGGTCCCGCAAAACATATTTATATGTCTTACAATGTTTTTGAAGATTGTTTCCAACTCAGGTTGAGAACTGAACAATTCTTTTGTGTAATATATATTTTTTGTTTGCTCATAGGAAAAAAACTACCATTCTTCCAGCTTCCCAAGGTTCTCAAACTTGGCTTCAAAGCCTTGGAATTCCATAGTGGCCCTCAGGGCTTCCCATGGGAGGAAAATGGGGTTACACTGTTAAAGTCAGATGTAAAGCTGATCGTGGTGGCACATACCAGTAATCTCAGCACTCAGGAGACTGAGACAAGAGAATCACTACAAATTTGGGGCTATCCTTAAGGGATAACTGCAGCTTCATGGCCAGACTGGAGTACATAGTGAGTTCAAGGCTAGTGTGAAGTACATAGCAAGATCTTTTCTCAAAAAAGAAAAAAAAAACCCAAAATAAAAAAGCCAGGTGTGAAAAAACATTGCTATGGACAGGCAGATAAACCATTTGGGAAGTTGCATGAATCTTCCCTCAGAGAACTATTCAACAGAATAAAAATAATGGAACTTATGAATGGGGAAATTTCTGAATTGTGTTCATAAATTCAAATTTTTGGTGAGGAATGGCAAATGCCAGACTAGAAGAAGGTATGTACTCTTACGAAGCAGCCACCTCTTAGCTTTAACTAATTTTTGTCGTTTGAAAGACAAATTCAGTATGTTTTAGTCTCACATCCCATTGCCCTTTGAGCTATTTATATGATTATAATTCATTTAACAATTTTTAAAATAGTACACGCCAAAGAAAACTTGCAGACTGCATTACATAATAATTAAATTCATAATTGACCATAGGACCTCTGGCTAAAGTCTGTTTTGCAGTGCTGTACCCTTGCTGTTCAAAAGAGCAAATGGACCGCTGGGTGTGGTGGCGCACACCTGTAGTCCCAGCACCTGGAAGACCAAGGCAGGTGGATTGCCGTGAGTTCAAGGTCAGGGCTACATAGTGAGACCCTGTCTAAAAAAATTAATTTGAGAGATGCAAATGAAACAACACTGAAGGGCGAGGGATTTAGCTAAGTGGATGCACATCGAGGCCATATTCTTAGGTGAAATAAATGGGACATGTGTAAATACCGAATTGTTTCTGTAGTGTGAGAAACTGAAAGTGTAAATAAGGACTAAAAGGTGTAATAGATAGTGTGAACTAGGAAGAAAAGGTCAAAGGGGATGTGGGAGGGTTGGGGAAAAGAAGGAAATATATTTAATAAAAGGAAAAAATAGAAACACAATCTTTGTAGATAGGAGTGGAGGGGTTGAAGGGAGAGTAGGGGAATGGGGAAAAAATAAGAACCAAGATGGATTATGTTTTGTTTTGTTTTTTGGGGTACCAGGGATTGAACTCTGGACCTTACGTTTGCGAGGCAGGCAGTAGAACCACTGAGCTAAATCCCCGGCCCCCAAGCTGGATTATGTAAAGGTACACATTTATAATGATGAATGTCATTATATTGTATACCTAAAATGTACCAATAAAATTAATTTTTTAAGAAAGAATAAATATGGGTACCTGCTAATGAGTAGGCTGAGCATGTAGAGATAGATTTGAGTGACAGTACATTTTGTACTCAAAAAGTAAGGAAAGTGATTTTAGACATGCACAGTATATCACTTCTAATCACTCATAATCATCATTCCCATATGGAACATAATTTCTCCCAGTTCTTTGTCTGTGTCACATAATCTTGATATTAGATATTATTATGTACAAAAATATATAGATACCATAATAAAGTGTGCTACAATGAAAAGCAGGAAGGATACTTAAGGATGTAGAAGGCTGGTAAGACAAAATGCCCTTGGAACTGAGTGAGTACGTCATTCCCTGGGATCACTAAAAAAGGCTCTTTCTTGTACTATTCAAGAGTAACAGCTTGAATTCTGATACTTCAAGATATTTTAATTTTGAAAGTTAAAAAATTACTTTTGTCTTATAGGAAATGACTCCAAAGTAGATGGTTTAGTAAACTTTGAGAAGCTAAGAATGATTTCTAAGGAAATCCGTCAAGTTGTTCGAATGACTTCTGCTAACATGGATCCAGCCATGATGTTCCGACAAAGGTATGACACAGCAACAGTGTGTAAGTGTTACAGGGAGATACAATAATCATCACAGTATTGAAATAAGTGCTTTGCCCATATCGACCTCATATATTAGTCTGTAACTGTGGTGGCAAACCTCTGGCACACGTGCCACATTGGGCTGTTTTTGAAAGCTCTAAAAGGTTTGTCATCACTGGCTTATACCAGTGCCATAACAGGTAAGTGATTTTAGCCTTCCTTTTATGCTTGAAGAAGGTGAAATCTAAAGTACTTCTGTAGAGTTTGTTAAAATTTGAATCCTGCTTTGTGGCTTACTTTTTTTGTGTACATAGGTAGTTCTGTATTGTTCTTTAAAATATCAACAAATGGTTAAGGTTTATTGAAATCAGAGAGGACAAATGGTTTCATCTGTTCTAATTTATGAACTATTAGTCTGCATGTAGTTTCTTTCCCATCAAATTCATACTTCATTTTTCTAAAACAGTTCTTTTTCTTCAAATTATGATGCTATTTTTTATATGTAAACTCTTTACCAGAATTTAGAAACTATAAATTTCATTCATACTCCATATTTCTTTAAAATGGTACATATTTGTATACTATATTAATCTGATCTTGTAAGACTGCTTTTTAAAATTAATCCCTAGAGTCATAAAGGTTTCCTCAAATTTCTGTATGAAGTTTATGAAAAATATTTTGTTAAGCTACTTGGCACATTTTGTACTTTTCAGGATGTAAGTAGACATTGCAATTTTAATTTATGGTGTGATTTTTTTTTTTTTTTGCACTTTTCTGTATAGGACATTAAAAACAAAATAATTAACAGAAGCAGACATAATTCTTGTGGATTAAAAAAAATGTACTCGCCTCTGAAAACTAAACATTTGTTACTTTAAAACCAGTTAGTATTTTTATAACCAAACAACCAATGTGTCAAGACCTTTTTGTTTACATCACAATTTAGGAGTCTTTGTGTATATAAGTAGTTAGTCTAATGGTTTCTATAGTTGAGAGATCCTCAGAGTGGAGGAAAGGCTGTGCCAGATCATCCCCTCTTCCTTCCCCATTCCATTTCTGCCCCTTGAGATGCAGTATGGAAGCAGAAAACAGTTAAGACCAAAATAAACCTGGAGGAGGGTTTGTTTTTGTTTTTGTCCTTGTTTTTGTTTCATGTTCTTGTACATTGGCCTTGCCATTCTCTTGTCTTATGTAGACCTCCATTTACTTATATGTGTCATCAGTTTCATCCCTGAAGACATAATTAAATATGAATGAACACATTATATGTACATGCATGGAGTGCCAGCTTTGTTTCAGAAATGAGCAAAGATGTGAATGTGGTGATGTATTTCTGTAATCCCAGCTATTCTGGAGACTGAAGCATCTTGGGCAATTTAGCATGACCCTGCATCAAAACTTTGTGTGTGCTTATACTGGGCCTTCACGCTCAACTACAACCTCAGCCCTTTTTTATTTTTTATTTTGAGACAGTGTCTTGCTAAATCGTCCAGGCTGGGCATGAACTTTTGATCCCTTTGTCTTGGTTTCTCTTAGAGTGCTGGGATTACAGGAATGAGATCACCATTCCCAGGTCAAGCAAAATAGTTAAAAGCAGGCTGAGAATTTAGCTCAGTTGGTAGAATACTTGCATGAGATCCTGGGTTCAATCCACAGCTTAACCTTCCTCCCCTCAAAAGGCAAAGAAAGAAGGGAAGAAATCTGGTGTGGAAACTGACAGACCTGGCTGCTTTCTAAAGAATAGCATGGGTTAGGGCTGGGGATTCAGCTCAGTGGTGCTGTGGCTGCCTTGCAAGCGCAAAGTCCTGAGTACTTGAAAGAAAAAAGAATAGCTTGGCTTGAGCAGAAAAGGTATAAGGGAAAATAAACACTTACTTTTAGATTGGACTGGATTTTTCTTGAATCAGTTTTGTCAGCCAATAATGAAATGGAATATCTATTTTTAAGCAAAAGTTTGTCTACTTAGAGTAGCTAAACCTAACAAGAGCAAAGGAACCCCTTTTAACAGTACAGCATGCTAAAAGACAGTAACTCTATTTAAACAGTAGCTTAAAGATATATTATGATAATATATTTTTACTTACATTTTAATTTGGATTTGCTGACAAAACTTTCTTGTAAAATATTTGTCACAGAAAATTTTACACTTAATTAAATTATATATCTTTATGTTCCTTGTAATTTTATTTAAGTGGCTCAAAAATCTTTTCGAAAGAAATATTCAAAAAGTCTGTCAAGGTTTTTCCCTAAAAACTGAATTAAAAACTTAACAGTAATTTTATGGTTTTCTTTAAGCTCCTTATTAATATAAGCTTCTAAATAAGGTAGTAAAAGTATAATTAATTAAAGCATACTGTCAAATATAAGGTATATATGGTGGGGGATTTTTTCCTTCAGGGTTTACCATAACTTGTCTTACCCTCTTGTATTCCATTAAAATCATTTTACTGTTAAGCTACTCTTTTTTTTTTCCTGGTAAAATTTTTCTGTTCTATTCTGTCCACACAGTTTCTCTGACTATCAACTGTTGTCTTTTTTTTTCTGTGCTTTCCTATTCAAACACATGCTTCAATGTTTGTGGCTCTTGCTTACAGGAAGAAGAGGTGGCGGAGTCTGGGGTAAGTGTAGAGATGAACACAACTGGAGTGAAGGTTGTGCAACTTTTAATGCATACTGCATCCTTCTCATTAATGCACGCATACAAAATAGCATGCATTCTATTAACTCTGTCAACCTACATTCCTGACAAATGCCTTTTGCTAACAAGGTGGAGTAGTGATAGAACTAGTTTTTATTTTTTTAACTCTTCCACTATTGATGTTCTGTAAACCCTTTTTAGATATAAAGTTAGCAGATTCAGTTAGATAATGATGCTGCTGATTGTAGTGAATATTTGTTGTATACCTGCTGTGTGCTGTACCGCATTCTAAGCACGCAGAATAAATTTTCTTAATTGTTTTATCACTCTGTGAACAACAGGTGCTGCTGTTCCTGTGGTGTAGCTGGGGAAGGTGGGAAGTCTTACAGCCAAAGTCTTACAGCTCATTAGTGGTGGGCCTAAACCTCACCCCTGTGATTCACGGGTCCACTCCACTTTATCTTATTCAAATGCCATATTTTATAAAAGTAAATTTATTTAAATATGTAAAAATGGATGAGAGATGTTTATAAAAGTTGTATTTACCATCTGTTTTTTAAAGAGGCAGCTTGCATCCAAGCTGTACTATAAAATTGAGCTAGAAGATAATTTTAATTCTTGGATCCACTAATGCCTAAGACTTCCAGCACTGATTGAAATTTATTTTAAATTTCTACCAGCTTGACTTAAAGACGTATCTTTCCATAAAACTTTGATAGAATGAGAAACTTGCACCTTGTTATTAAAGTAGGCTCAGATCTCTGCTTCTACGTAGTTAAGTCTATTTAGAATCACTGAATGTTAGGAATCTTATATATCTTGTATCTAGTCTTTGATTTTTAGTTGAAGAAAGTGATGGTTTTGGGGGTGGAGTTGCTTAAAAAAATAATTTTGTTATTTTAAGACTAGTGAACCTTGAAATTAGGTGCTTTTGTGACATGTAATAATGTTTTTGTGAGCCACCTCCTTGAGTCCTGTTTTTGTGGCCTTGCTCTCTGTCAGAGCTTGGTGAACCTAACTGTACTCTGTTTCTCCGTTCTGTGTTGTGTTTCTTATGTCCCCTTCTGTATCATACATTAATGTTTTGGTCTATTTTGTTTCTTCTAACTGAAAATAGAAGTTGATGCGTGGTGTTATTAATGTAAATAAAACTATTTGGATTTGGGGGGTGATTGAATAACTTCTGTAAAACATTCACTATTCAGCTTTGGGGTTTGCACTGTATGATTCTTGATTAGGTATCTTCATTTTATATCTAATTTGGAAATGGTTTAGAAGATACCATCTAGTATGTTTTCAGTAGTAGAATTTTTATCTATCCTGGATTTGTTGGCAGTCTCTTTTTGTTTCTTTTTATTGTGGACATCAGCTCAGATGAAATAATTAAACATTAGGATTAAATTTTGCTCCTAAATATTAAGATTTAATTTTACTCTGTTTCTCTGAATCCACAACATCATCAGTTGTTGGATGCACCATTATTTTATATACTACCAAGAAAAACCACTGTAGTCTCCTGTTACCACTGAAAATTTTTACTATTTGCTTATTACAAAAGCTAAGTCTGTAGACTTAGCTGCGAATTTTTACCACATAATATCCTTGTCTGCATATACATAAAAATGAAAATATAAGCGAAGTAAATTGGTTTAGCTCTCTCTAATTCAGACTGAATCTTCTGAGTCACTTTTAGAGCCATTAGATTGTGCTCCAACATACATAGTGTTGCCTTCTGTGCCAGCCAGTGAATTGCTAATGCATATTTTCATATAAGCCATAGAGAACTAGAGGCTTCTGGTGCTGGCTTCAGCAATAGAGGAATCATTTTTTTTTAATGTATTTGAGACAAGGTCTCACTTTGTAGTCCAGGCTGTTCTCGAACTCGAAGTGATCTTCCTCCCTCACCTTCCCATGTGCTGTGATTACAGGTGTGTACCACCATGCCCAGCTAGGTAGCCTCCTTTTCATACTTTTTGGGAATGTTACTGAAGTTGTCAGGTTCACTTTATAACAGTTGTTTCTTGAAGATTAAAAGGATAAATCTATAATGTGATTGGATTTTCTTCGAAACCATTCTGCAAGTTTTGAGATTTCTGCAATGTAAATAATGACAAAATCAGTTTCTGCCTAACCAATAGCAAATGAAAGTTGCTGTCAAGTCAAGTGTAAGATATACCTCTTACTTCAAAGACCTTAAAATGTGACAGGAAAAGAAAATATCTCAGCACTTTTTCCTTCCATATTTCCCTTAATTATACTGAAAACATTAGGATTCAATTCAAGGACTTTTTAAAACTAGCTAAGTGTAGTTAGGAACAAATTATTGTATGGTAGTCTAAAATATTTTTATGTAAATATGAGGCTAATTTAGAAAATCTATAAATACTCATTTTGGAATGGCAGTTGCCTTTGAAATAAAAATTATCTCTATGAACCTCTGCTAGCCTTGTTAGAAAAAGCACTGCAGTTACTGTTTTCCATTGGTTTTATTTAGTTGTAGTCATTGTACAAAGAGGCTTGACAGGGTAGAGTTGGGTGAAGCTGCAGTCATTTACATTGTGGTTCTACGCAGCTGCAGCTCTAGTACATTCACAGGCATTAGGAGAGTAAAGTCTTTGATCCCCATCTCTAGAACCCAAATAATGCCTGGCCATTCCATATATGAATGGAAATGTTGAGTGACTTTTTACTGCTTTTCTGAGCTCTATGTTGAATTGAGTATTATGGCTGTTGTTCACAACTGATAGTTACTGGTTGTTCTCTTTGAATTTTGGACAAAATTTAGTGACGGGTAGAATTGGTCAGTATGCACAGGGTGAGCTCTGAGCAGCAGTGAGTGGTGGTGCCAGCAGCATTTCCAGAGCAGCACGGAGGAGGCTGCACCGGAGACTTTCTTGCTGGAGAGCCATGTGCGCAGGTCTCACTGGCCCTGGCTCCTGCCATATCTTCAGAGTGTGAGAATGCTTTTTCTTGTCACAATTGTGTCATGAGTCAGATAGGCACAAGCACAGGTGTGTTGGAAAGTGTTGCTCAGGGAGAAATTGATACTCTTTTTTCTTTTTTTAATTCTGCATTTTGCCAAAATTGGTCTTAATTCAGAACATTGTCATGAGTGCCAAATGACTTTGCATTAATGCTCTTCATCTTATAACTCATTTACATCAGCATGCAATAGCATTAACAGAACAAAATCTTTTAATCTTGATTCTCTCATGTTCTCATGTGTACAGCTGCTTACTGTGATTTCCATCTTCTTAAGGTCATTGAGTCAAGGCAGCACAAATTCAAACATGTTGGACATTCAGGGAGGCGCTCACAAGAAAAGAGCACGTCGCAGCTCTCTGCTCAATGCCAAGAAGCTGTATGAGGATGCTCAGATGGCGAGGAAGGTGAAGCAGTATCTGTGCAGTCTGGATATAGAGACGGACGAGGAGAAGTTCCAGATCATGTCGCTGCAGTGGGAACCTGCCTATGGTACTTGTGAGTACAGGTTTTCATGTACATGACAGAAACGACACAAGAAATTACACTGAAGTCCCAATAAAATTCTTAAACTTTTATTGACAAAGATTACTGACAATCTGGGCCCTCAGGAGGCTAGAGCAAGAAGAATGCCACAAGTTCAAGGCCAGTCTGAGCTGCATAGTTCAAGGCCAGCCTGAACCGCGTAGTGAGACCCTGTCTCAAAAAGAAAGATTACTGACATACCCCAACCATTGTGTGATTCTAAGATTCTGAATCCCACCTAGCCCTGATGTTTACTCTGCAAAAAATAGAGTGATAAATAGTTCTTTAAGAAGCTTTAGCTGGTTATGGTGACACATGCCTGTGAGGCCAACCTGAACTACAAAGCAAGACCCAGTCTCAGAAAAAAAAATTTGAAGAATTTAGCTCACTGGTTCCACCACCTGCCTTGCAAGAGCAAGGTCCTGAGTTCAATCCCTGGTACCAAAAAAAAAAAAAAAAAAAAAA